TGTGTGTGTGTGTGTGTGTGTGTGTGTGTGTGTGTGTGTGTGTGTGTGTGTGTGTGGGGATATACTGTATATTTAAATTAAAATATTTTAAAAACTAATAAAAATATATATATTTTTTGGGTGAGAGTGGGCTCTTTGGCGGGCCGGACAGCAGGAACCCGCAGGCCAGATGTGGTCCACGGGACACCAGTTGAATAGCCATTTTCTATCTTTTACTGTTGAGGCTGAGAGATTAGTTAGGCTTGAAAACATCTGTTTTATTTTCTAAAGAAAATATATTTACCAAAATAAATCAACAGTCAATCACCCATTTACTATTTACAAGGTCACAAAAAGGTAAATTGTTAAAGTCATGAAGGCAAAACCTGCGGTTGTTTTACTTTAATGCATTAAACCCAAGTGAATTTACTGTTGTTTGTTGCCTGTTTTAGTACTTTACTAACTGGCTAATTATCTCCTGCTGCTATCAGTGTCACACTACACATCAGTGATTTTAAAAACTTGTGTTCAGCCATCAGGTGTCGTCTGGGAATAATTATGTAATTTACAACCCCACGATTTGTGACACAAGTAACCTTATTTACATTTGGAAGTGTTCTCCAATAATCTTCCCTTGTTCTTTCCCCGTGAAAAGAACAACTCACACAGTAATTAACTTTGACCTTAAAAATGTCAGCCGTTCTTTTGGGGGGGTCATATAACCACTTGTTAGTGTGTTGTATATTTATTTCTTTGGGGTAATTAGGGGTACCAGTTGGTCCAACATTTGCAGTCAGGTCACACATCGTGTGTTCACTGTCCCAGATCCGCTCCAGACCCAAACGTCTTCAGACGCGATCGCCATCTTGCAACACTTCCTCTGCCCTGCCTGTCACGCATCAGAGGATCATGCTCAGTCATGTCAGAAGTTACCCATGTGCTTTAAAGCTTTTGAAGGTCTACCGTGAGACAAAATGATGCTAGCAGTTAGATATGGTAGACCTATTTCTGGAGTGAGTAACCCCACAAGACATGACTTCAAAGAGGCGTCGGGGGGGATGAGCAGACATGGATGTACTACTGCGTTATGAAGGAGAAAATAAACAGACTTTAATAGAAATGTTGTTTTCTGCCCTGACCTGTTCTGGTTTTCCGCCGTTAACTCCCAAACACGTTCAGAAAATAGTCGAATAAAAGCTGACTTCATTTTTTTATGTATTTTGCCATGAATTGGCTGCTTCTATGAGCCTAATGTGATCTGTCAGTTCCTTTAACAGCTAAACTTCTACTCCTCTAATTAAGTATCTTGATATTTGTGAGCCATCACATCGAAACGAAGATTAAGTCCAAAAGTGGTGTATGGAGAAATAGGCAAGTATAGTGTTTTGATTAAAATGTTAACAAAAATAGCATTTTGCCAAAATATAATGAATAAAACCTTATCAATGTATCATTTGAATGAACTGTCTGAAATATAATCATAAAACAAAAATTTGAAGCACTTTTTTGAGCAGTAGCAACAAAAAAACTGATTTTGAGGAAAAAAGCATTAAAATTTTGAGATTTTCCCTGTGAGCTAGCAAAGTTTTGTTTCTTTCCAGCTGGGAAAATCTCAATATTCAAATATAATTTGAAGTTTCCACTGTATAAGGACATCAAATATTCCTCATTAAAATTACAAAAAATTAGGATTCAGACCAAATATTTACGTATTGTAACCAACCAGACAAATTAAGTCATATATATGGATTTACTTATGATATTAGAATGATTCAGGTATCAAAATGTAGCTTTTAAAGCCAAGAATCTGAAAATGTAATTAGGTCATTTTGACCAAATTTGACTTAATCCTCATTTCGAAATGATGGGTCACATTTAATTCAAAATGAATCTTCCAAATGTATATTTTGTTTAAGAATACAACTATAATGTAATAATAATAAAATTTAAATTTGTATTTAATGTGGCGCACACACACACACACACACACATCCTTGTGCTTACATCAAACTGAGGACTTTGTGTTGACTTCTATTCATTTTTGTAATTACATTTACCATATGTTACTGGTTTATTACGAATCCTAACCTGAACCAAAACTTTATTCACACCATATCTCTAAACCAATTGTTCCCAWCCCTGGTCCTCAAGGACTCCAATCCTTTATGTTTTACTTGTTTCCCTGATATTCAGCAGATCTTCAGAAGATTGTTGATCAATCATTTATTCAAARCAGGAAAACATCTAAAACATGCAGGACAGGAGTCCTTGAGGACCAGGTTTGCTCTAAACCTAACTTATAGAGTGCAGTAGAGCTGCAAAAAAGTGAGGATCAAGAAAATGTCCTCAGTTCCCAAAAATGAACTCACTTAGTCGGTTAAAAACCTCACATGGTTCTCACTCTGTCGCAGAAACAAGCACACACACACATATCCTTGTATTTGCATCAAACAGACTTTGTATTGACTTCCATTCATTTTTTAGTTTGGTTTAAATTTAGTTTTAGTTTATTCATTCATTCAAAAACAAAGTAAATTCAGTATACAAAAACATACAAATGAAAAATAAAATGAAAGGCAGCAGAAGTAAGAAAAAACTTTTTGAATGTTTGTAACTGTATTTAAGCCTAACCCTGACATTTTTACCCAACAATAACCATTATTAGTTTATTCCTAACACTAACCTAAACCGAAACAATTTACACCACACCTCTAAACCTAATAAAGCACAGCAGAGCTGCAAAAATGTCCTCACTTTACATCAAAGACCTCACTTTAATAGTAACTACTTTGCAAGAGGTCCTCACTCTGTAGCAGAAACAAGCACACACATATAAAACACATACAGCGGGTAAAATAAGTATTGAACACATCACCATTTTTCTCAGTAAATATATTACTAGAGGTGCTAATGACATGAAATTTTCACCAGATGTCGGTAACAACCCAAGTGATCCATACATACAAAGAAATCAAACCATAAATGTCCAGAAATGAAGTTATTTGTAATAATGTGGAATGGCACAGGGAAAAAGTATTGAACACATGAAGAAAGGGAGGTGTAAAAAGGCATGGAAAGCCAAGACACCAGCTGAACTCTCTCAGTAATTAGAAAGCAAGTCTGCCCCTTGTCAGTGCAAGTTAATATCAGCTGGTTCAGTCCCAAATGATGGCCAGGTATCACACAAGAACCATCTGATGATGGGTAAAAGTAAAGAGCTCTCTCAAGACCTTCACAACCTTATTGTTGCAAAGCATAATGATGGCATCGGTTACAGAAGAATGTCTAAACTTCTGAAGGTTCCAGTGAGCACTGTTGGGGCCATAATTCAGAAGTGGAAAGAACATTATTTCACCATAAACCGACCACGACCAGGTGCTCCTCACAAGATTTCTGACAGAGGAGTGAAAAGAATTATCAGAAGAGTTGTCCAAGAGCCAAGGACCACTTGTGGAGAGCTTCAGAAAGACCTGGAATTAGCAGGTACGTTTGTTTCAAAGAAAACAATAAGTAATGCACTGAACCACCATGGCCTGTATGCACGCTCACCACGCAAGACTCCACTGCTGAAGAAACAGCATGTTGAAGCTTAAAGTTTGCTGCACAACATTTAAACAAGCCTGTGAAATACTGGGTGAATATAGTCTGGTCAGATGAGACCAACATTGAACTGTTTGGATGCCAGAATACACATCATGTTTGGAGGTCAAATGGCACTGCACATCAGCCCAAAAACACCATACCAACAGTGAAGTTTGGAGGTGGGAACATCATGGTGTGGGGCTGTTTTTCAGCATATGGTACTGGCAAACTTCAAATAATTGAAGGAAGGATGAATGGAAAAATGTACAGAGACATTCTTGATAAAAATCTGCTTCCATCTACCAGGATGATGAAGATGAAACGTGGCTGGACATTTCAGCAAGACAATGAGCCCAAACACAAAGCCAAGGAAACTCTCAGTTGGTTTCAGAGAAAGAAACTAAAGCTGCTGGAATGGCCCAGCCAATCACCTGACCTGAATCCAACAGAAAATCTATGGAAAGAACTAAAGATCAGAGTTCATA